AGTCTGGGTGACAGAGTGAGACTCCAACTCAAAAAAAAAAAAAAAAGAAAAAGAAACAAAAGTAGAAGGGGCCTGGGGCAGGAGGGAAAAAGAGTTAAGGAACTTGTAGGTGAAGAGGCAGCAATGAGAATAATCATCAGAGCTGGCAAGAGACAGTGATCAGAGTAGGGTATCTGATGGCCTGTTTCAGAGGTACAGCCCCTGGAGGAGGCGACAGGGTCAAGGGTGTAGCTATAGTGTGGATGGGAGTGAAGGTCTCAGATGAGGAACAGAAGGAATTGAGAGGTTGGGGTGTGAGTGTGTTGTAATACTATACTGCCATCTTCAAGTAGAGAGAACTACTGAGAGCCACTGCCAGAGTGAGTGAAGGAGAGGCATAGGGTGTGATACAACTGGGTGAAACACTCCAAATAGCCTGGAATGTGGGCAGGTTAGAGGGTGGGTGGTGTGGATCATGGAGGATGCTGGCCCTGGCTTCTCTCCTGCCTTCCACCTGTCTCCTGTAGATTGACGTGCACCTTCACGATGCCTTGGGTCGGCCTCATCAGTGTGGGACAATCCAGCTTGACTTCCAGCTGCCCCTGAGATTTGGCCTCCAGTACAAGGGGTATAGAACCTTGCCCCATCCCCTTTTCCCTCGTCAGCCCATGGAATGGCTCTCTATCTCCCTCTCTACCTCTAGTCCTGAAAACTAAACCAAATCCTCCGCATCCTCCTCTGCCAGAGCTGAATATTTCTTGAAAACTGGAAAGCGATCTCGGGTCCACAATTTGTGATGCTTCTGCCCTTCCACCCACCCTTTTCCTCCCAAGACAGGCGGGGGCCATGGAGCGTCCAGTCCTCATTCACCGAGCGGTGCTCGGTTCTGTGGAGAGGCTGCTGGGAGTGCTGGCAGAAAGCTGTGGGGGAAAATGGTGAGGCCTTGACCCTGGATTTCTGTTGGCCCTCAAACCACACAGTTCATGCTACAGAGCCCGTACCCCTTCAGTTGCCATTCTCTGTCCTTCCCACATCTTCCTGCAGCCACGCTTCTGGCCAGAGCCAGAATGAATGATCTGCCTTTATCTGTTCCCTCCCAACCAGGCCACTGTGGCTGTCCCCGTTCCAGGTGGTGGTCATCCCGGTGGGGACTGAGCAAGAGGACTATGCCAGGGAGGTGAGAAGTGGAAAGGGGGAAAGAGAAGGGGCAGAAATAGGACCCGAGAGTTTGGTGCCCGGCAGTGGTAGGAAGAGGCTTGCAGGGGAGCAGAAAGGGCACAGCCATAAGACCGGCCTTGGGTGGTGGCTGGCCTACATGCTGGAAATTCTGCATCTAAAAGATGAAACATCCCTGCCTTGCGGATTTGTGTCAAAATCAAACCAAAAAAATGCTGGACTCTGCCAGTAGAGCGCAAGAGCAGGCTTGAGTAAACATTGGTTTTATTTTTCCTTTCAAGAGAGAATTGAGGATATGGATGGTAGCAAAGTTGAGCACTGGTTGAATAGAGTGGTGGCCAGAAACAGGCTAAGTCCAGAGACTAACTGGGACTCGTCTCCAGTAGGAGGCAGACAGAAAAGTGGGGTTGGGTACAGGGAGGAGACCTCAGTGTAGACATGAGGTAAGGAGAGGTTGTTGGTGGGAAGTGGAGAATACTGAGGTGGGGAGAGAGGAACAGATGGGTGGCATCGGACTCTTCCAGCCCCTTAACCTCCCAGTTAGTTAACTCCCTGCCCCCAAATGTCTGTCCCAGGCACAGCAGAACCTGCGGGCTGCAGGGCTGGTCAGCGACCTAGATGCCGACTCTGGACTGACTCTTGGCCGGAGAGTCCGCCGGGCCCAGCTTGCCCACTACAATTTTCAGTTTGGTGAGTGAGTGGGTCAGTCCAGGACCACTGAGCCACAAGTCCTCCCACCTGCCTCTGCCTCCTTCTTTCTGTCGGGTTTGCTAAGTTGGGTTATGTGCATATTTGGGTTCACTGGGCTCAGGACCTGAGCTCGGCAGGAGCCGGGATTCAGGACACCTGACTCATGTGGGCCCTGGTCCTCACATAGCCCCGCCCTCCCCACCACTACCCCTGACCCTCAGACCAGTTTTCCTCTCAGTAACGCCACTCTAGCTCTTGGTGTCTGTTAGGCGAATTAACCAAGGGAACACGAGAGAGAAAGGGACAGGAAGGGCTAATAAGGCATCAATTAGCCTTGTTTATTCTAGACCTGGATGGAGTCAGCCCGAAGGCTTGAGGAGAAAGGCCTTAAGGAGAAAAATGTAGCACTGCCATGCTCCTGCTTCTTCTGTAGTCCAGGGCTCAGGGTTCTGACTTGAGGCAGGGAGCAGAAACTCCCAGCCAGACGAACTGATGCTCTAGTTTGGCATAGCCCCTTGCCCTACGAGCGCTGAGAGCAGGCTGTGCCACAGTCCCAGAGATTTGCCCATGTGTGTTCCACCCCTGCCATCTTTTCCTTCCTCTCCTGCTCCTCCCCCAAGCACACACACAGTTCCCCTCTGTCTGGTCCTTAACCTGTTTGTCTGCCTGACTCTAGTGTCTCTGACCCCTGGGCTCCTGCCCAGAAATGATAAGTCCTGCAGGGACTCACACATTTCCTTATCTCCTCAGGATGAGCTGGGAGCTGGAGGGCAGGCGCTCCTAAATATATCCTTTCTTTGAACCATGTCTGGGCTGTGCTCCCACCCTTCCTAAAGATTTAGGTCTCTTAAGTTTCTGCACAGCAAAAGGAAATATCCCCTGTGGATGAATTTGTCCTGAGATTCCCAGACTTCCTTCCCCTTCCTGCAGTGGTTGGCCAGAAAGAGCAAAGTCGAAGAACAGTGAACATTCGGACTCGAGACAATCGCCGACTTGGCGAGCGGGACTTGACCGAGGCTGTGCAGCGGCTGGTGCAGCTACAGAACGCCAGGGTCCCAAATGCTGAAGAGATTTTCTGAGGCTTTGTGCATAGATGAGGCAAAGACCTGGGAGTGCCGCCAGCCTCCCTTCATGTGGGAGACCCCAGGCCACTTGACCATCTGGAGTCCCCCAGAATCCTGAGAGCTCGTGTGGAGGCATGCCTCTGCTCTCTTGAAAGAGACTTGGTTTGGGGACCCCACAGAGAGAGGGAAGCTGAAACTGTATGTAAGGAGGGCGAAACTAAAAAATAAACTGGGAGCTGCTGTGTCTTCATCTCTGACTCCTGAGGTGGGAATAAGAGGAAGTTCTACCCTGGGTTCCACCCTCTTTGTTGTCCCAGAGAGCTGGGGAGCCTGAAAAGGGGTAGTCCAGATCCCCCCCTCAGATAGCTGTCCGGCTCCCTGCTGTCAGCTTAGGGCCCTGTTTCCGTAGCTCAGCAGGCCGTCAGACCCCTTCTCCATGGAAGCCGTGTGCACATGGGGAGACTGAGGCCCAAGCCCTGGCTCAGACGTCTCCTGCCCCACAGTTCCCCGAGTTTCTCTTGGGGTCCAAAGAATGCTCTCCTCTCATCACCCCCATTCTTCTCAATCCTCCGAGGAGGCTCAGGGTGACTTCGGGAGGAGTGGCTACCAGAGGAGAGACAGCTGGGACTGAGTCATGGCAGGAAGCTGAGGAGGGCGGGAGATGGCACCGACAGGCTTATAAGAGCTGGAGCCGGCCCTAGAGTTCACAACAGCAGCAACAACAGCCAGACAGGCAGACTTCCAGCAGCCCAGCCCTTCACATCTAGGTCTGCCTGAGAGGACCCACCTCCTGAGTGTCCAGTGACCAGTTCTTGCCCCAGGATGGGGACCATGTCCAGAGCAGCCTGGGTCTTGGCCTGCTTGGCTGTCACTTCTGCTGCCTCTGAGGGAGGTGAGTGGGGTGGGGTCCACATTTGGGGAGGGACTTGTCCAGCATGGGCAGGGGTCTGGGTCCAGTCACCCCAGAGGACTCCTCACCAGCAGAGTGAGTCTCCACTAGGCCTCCCTTTTCTGAGCAGGCCCAAGGTGGGCCTGGAGCACAGGCGCCTTGAAGCAGGGAGGCAGGAGCCCCTAGAAGCGCAGCGGGAGAGGGCTTCCTAGAGATGGTTGCCGAGAAACCCAAAATTAGAGTCAGATGGACAATGGAGGGGCAAGGGGATTCAGAGTGAGAGACCCCTGCCTGAGGAGGAGGTATGCAGGGACCAAGCAGCAGGAAAGGGAGGGGAAGGGGCGCCTCGGGCTGCTCCATACCGGGCTGCTGACCCCAGGAGCCTGGGCTGACTCCCCGTCTGATGAGAGGCGGAGCTGAAGGGGTGTCCATCCACAGACCTGCCCTCTATCCGGCACATACACTTTCTTTACCTGCTTGATGCTTGAATAAAACAGTAGTCCTCAGCATTGTGTGTGGAAACTCAAAACAAAAACCCAGGGAGCCAGACGCGGTGGCTCACACCTGTAATCCCAGCTGGACATGGTGGCACATGCCTGTGGTTCCAACTACTTGGAAGGCTGAGGAGAAGGATCACCTGAGCCCAGCAAGCCAAGGCTACAGTGGCCGTGAGCGTGCCACTGCACTCCAGCCTGAGCAACAGAGTATGACTGACTCAAAAAACCCCAGGGAACTCCCGAGGGAAACTATTCAGAGAATGTCAGTAGATCTAGTCTATGTCTCTGTAAAGCCCTGTGTCATCTACAAGTGATTCCTTTCTCTGCCTGTCCCAGACCCCAGGTCCTAAACTGGGACCCAAACTGAGAGCCGAGACTAGCTGAAGGGGAGGCACTGGAGCTTTGGATGGGCCCCTCAGCAGGAGCTCAATGTCTCAAGGGCCTGGAGCAGGAGGGCGGGCAGAGGGGGTGGGCAGGGCAGGCTCCCACCCGTTCAGGGTCCAGATTTCTTCTGAAAGCTGGAGAAGCACCACAGCAGAGGCCAAGGGGAGGACAACCCCCAAGCCCTGAGGGGAAGACGGAAGACACTGGCAGAGGAAACGAGGGCCTTCCTCCCCAAGCCTGCGTGCCACATTCCCTTGAGGCCTGGCCTCAGAGCCAGGCGGAGGTGGGGCTGTAAGAAATCACAGGCCTTCTCAGAACCCAGTCAGTCGTGTCTAGGTGTGTTTAAGGTGGGGGAGGGCTAGGGAACATGGGCTGGTTGTCTCTCCTACAAGCTCGCTACCCCTCGCTGAGGGCCAGGAAAAGGCCCTCACCACTGTCCCGACTTGCCCTTCCTCCCGCCAGGCCTCAACACTCCAGGGCAGAGGGAGCTGAGGCCGGAGCACCTCATGGAGCATGTTCAGGAAGGTAAGAGTCTGGGGGAGCAGCATGGATTGGGAAGCCAGCGGGGGTGGAGGCTCTAAATGCCTCCGCTCTTGCTCCTAGTTGGCTACGCAGCACCCCCTTCCCCACCCCTGACCCGAGGCTTCTCCACGGATCACGTTGAAGCCTTTCGGCATAGCCCTTTCTCCGAGGAACAGAGTGAAGGTAAGGCCACCCCACGCCCTTCTCGGTCACCCCTCAGGGCTTCTCATCTGGCCTCCACTCTGCTCTTCAGACGGGCAAGAGGGAAGAAGTCCCACCCCCCTCTCCCGGCCCTGGCTAGCAGAAAGGGCGGGCGGCTCATACACCCCTTCTTCTGTAGTACAGCCCCCTTCCTCTCAGGAAGCCATCCCCTCCCAAGAGAAAGAGCTGCCGCCTCCCCAGCACCCCTTTGGGCAGGAAGGTAAGTGCCTCCCATTCCCTTGTCCCCATGCCACTATGGGTCTTGTTGACACACCTGTGTGAACCATGGTCCTCTGTGCCCTCACCCCTATCTTGCAGTGAACCCCTCTTTCCCTCAGAAAGCCATCCCCCACCAAAGAGAGCTGCCCTCTTCCCAGCACCCTGTTGAACAGAAGGAAGGTAAGTGACTCCCTCTCCTCCTTATCCACCTACCTCTGTCTACTCCATGGCCTCACCCAAGACATGGGCTTGGGAGGCAGGCAAGATGGCGGCTCTGCTACGTACAGTTGTGCAACCTTGGGTAAGTTACTTACCTCTCCAAGCCATAGTTTCTTCATCTGTAAAACTTAGAAAATAATAGCTATTTTTTAAAGCCATGTGGGCTGGGCACGGTGGCTCACGCCTATAATCTCAGCATTTTGGGAGGCCAAGGTGAGAGGATTGCCTGAGCTCATTGGGTTCGAGACCAACCTGGGCAACTTGGTGAGACCTCTTCTCTACAATTAA